TTTTTTTGTTTGTAAAAAAGTTGTCCAATTTGGCAAATTATGGATCCTCCAAGTGCTTATGTGGCGATAGATTGCTTTTGAATTGCCATAATATATAATATATAGTATATATATATATATATATATATATATATATATATATGTCTTCTACGGTACCCCGGGTGAAATCCGAGGTACCACATACCTTGAGTATGAAAACACTATCTAGACCTCGAATTAGCAGGATTTTTGGGCATGATTATATACCCTAACCCTTAATGAGTGAACCCTAGGTCCTAATTTTCTAAATCATAAACTATAAACCCTAAGATGGTGCATTGATTTTCTTATCTATATTTGGACGAATCATAACCGTCGATTATTGTTTCTAATTAAATTGATCTTGGGGTATAAGATTTAGAGAAATAAGACCTAGATTTTGATCTTTAAGGATAAGAGTACAGTATCATGTCCGAAACATCAGTCAATTCAAGTTCTAGATAGCATTTTCTTACTCAAGGTATGTGGTACCCCCGATTTCACCCTGGGTACCGTAGAACTCCCCATATATATATATATATATATATATATATATATGGGGAGTTCTACGGTACCCAGGGTGAAATCCGGGGTACCGCATATCTTGAGTAAGAAAACACTATCCAGAACTTGAATTGACTGATCTTTCTGACATGATACTATACTCTAACCCTTAAAGATCAAAATCTAGGTCTTCATTCTCTAAATCTTGTACCCCAAGATCAATTTAATTAGAAACAATAATCGACGATTATGATTCGTCCAAATATAGGGGGGAAAAAATCAATGTACCATCTTAGGGTTTATAGTTTATGACTTAGATGATTAGGACCTAGGGGTCACTCATTAAGGGTTAGGGTATAGTATCATGCCGAAAAATTCTGCTAATTCGAGGTGTAGATAGTGTTTTCATACTCAAGGTATGCAGTATCCCGGATTTCACCCGGGGTACCGTAGAAGGCACCATATATATATATATATACTATATATTATGGCAAAGGCTAGCGTACGCCCGAACGTACGTTAGACTACCGTACGCCCGTTTGAGTTTTGCTATTTAGATCATGAATTAACAGAGTTTTGGGCATGATTAGAGAGTCATAGTCGATTATCGTTGATTAGCATATCGTCCACATGTTGCTCTAAACTAATGCAGTCAAAATCGCGCTTTAAAGCGTAAAATCGTACGGTTTTACCTTTTTAACCCAAAAATACGCTTCGATTTCTACGTAACGTATTGTATATAAAATCATAAAACACGGTTGTAAAATTGGTAAAATCGGAAAATGATAAAATCACGTTTCTCGATTGTTTTTATACGTTTTTAGCACAGTCGGGAAATGGCCTAAATGAGTCAAAGCGGCGTCGTTTTAGGGTGTTTTAACTAAAAAAATTTGCAAAAGGGCTGGGTGAACTAGCTACCGCCTATCGTTGAGGGGATTCATTTCGGGCAAACCTACCCTAATTTGTTTTTCCCTAGCTGCACAACTGCTTGGCGCCGTCCTCCACCGTTGGCTGCTGTAGGAACCAGCGACCCTAATCATCGCCGCCCTCCAGCGACCCTGTCCCGCCGCCGCCACCAGCTACTCCAAGCCTCCACCCGAATCATCGCCGTCCTCCATCAACCCTGTCCTGCTGAAACCCTCGCCTTCTAGATCTCCAATAAGTGATTCCCGCCGCCTCCAGTCACCTGCACGTCTCTACATTCTCCACCATGCCACTCCCGCTGCAAGCCTCACCGCTCCAAGCCTCACCACTGCCTGAATTATTAAATTGTAAGAGTAAAAAGCCCTAACTCGTGAGATTAGGGAGAGGTTAATTGCAGATTTGTAGATTAGGGAGCACTGCCCACCATTTTGATATTGTAGAGGTTAATTGCAGACAATGTAGTCAAAAGCGAGTTTCTACGTAGAAATGTTTTGGGGATCTAGAAGCGTGAAATCATGAGTTTTTAAGTTTAAAGCGGAGTTTTTAACTATATAAGTTATAAAAACTGGGATTTTGTGTAGAAGCGTTTTGTTCCGTAAAGGATGCATAAAAAACTTACGCTTTTACGCTTTGATGCTATGCTTTAGGATTTTACCCATCCACCGCTGCTAGGTAGAATTGTGCTTTTGACAACATTGCTCTCAACCCTACAGAGTGTGTGTGCGTATTCACTCTCACTCATCATATGTAGCATTTTTCTGGCAAAACAATCGCATGTTTTCTTTCATAGCATATGGTAATTCACGAATTTTTGTTCATAATTTGCCCTTCAACTGACAATAATCACAATTTTTTTTCAAATTACTCCAAATACACGATTTTTTCCTTTAAAAGCGCCAACTCCACTATCATATATTTTGTAGATCTAAAAATATACAACAAATTTGTTTATTGTTATTAGTTATGACCAAAGTCAGTAACCCAACTAAAACCGTTAGCTATTCAAGCAAGTGGATTAAGGGATAATTATCAAATGGAATTAACTTCGTTTAGCCAAGCTTTACACAGATATATGAAGAAAATTATTTCTTCCACTTTTAGTGTACTTAGATATTTAGGATTTTTATGAGGGATGACAATCGAGCGGATCGAGGCTGGATGTATAAGGATTCGTTGCCCACCCGTCTGAACTTCGGGTTCGGGCAATCCCCAACCAAGGCTGCCCATTGTCGGATTTCGGGTGGATCGGGGATCCGAAAATATTCCAACCATTACATTGATTAAAACAAAATGACAGTGTCTCAATGAGAAACATAATTCGTAGATCCATTTTCATTCAAAGAAACCATAATTCATAGAACTTCATTACAGAAAATCTAGCATGCACTTGAGTAGTAGCAAAAGATCAAAACATTCAAGTGATTCAACATAAATCATCAAATCCAAACCAGAAGTACCAAGACCAAATGACCAACAGACCATTGTATGAGCAAACAAAAGCTTAAATAAAAGACTAACAAACGTCTTTACTACTCCATATTTCATCATGGTGCAAGGCAACAACAACTTTGATAGTAGCAGTAGCAACACAAAATGAAAATAAGATCTTCACTTCCACAAGAAACAATGCACATTCCTTGGTTCCACCCAGCAGCAACCAAGGCAATGAAAATTTGAAAAAAGCAGAGCAAAAATATGGTGCTAATTATCCAATCACAAAACGTGAAACAAAATTCAATTAAACACTCAAAGAACAACTTTGACCTACAGCTTGCTACTAGGTATCCAATCACAAATCTTGGCTAATCTTCAAGAAGCTTAAAACGAGGAGCTTGATCTACAAATTTAAACAAAAATCTCAATCTCATTTACATATATCGAAGGCTAGACGACAACAACAAGACTGAAATAAGGTTGTTGCTTATTACGTTCAACAATTTGAGGATCAGGTTGGAGGGGAGAATCATTCTTCTAGCGCTCCTGCTGCAGATCATCATCTACAAGTGCAAGTCATTCAAAACAGTTAGATAACATACTAAGACAAGATTAAAATTGAACAGAAATTGGTAAGGGATTACTTCTAGCGAATTCAGTTTGCAACCAGCTTCTTGTGCACACAAGAGTTTCCACAGAAGCATGGTGTAACCTTCTCCTGAGAGGGTCCAAAATATGACCACTAGAACTGAATGCACACTCGGATGCAACATAAGTAACGTGAACAACCAAAAATCCCTTGTTATGGCTTGCAATGTGGGATATTTTGGACCATTATACTTCCACCACATTAGAATGTCAAACTCAGCAGAACGAGGGAGAGTTTCCTCATTGAGTTAATTATCCAAATTAGTCTGCACAGAAGTAACCCTTTCCCTTTTCCTTTGACTCACAAAACGCTCCAAGTCCAAATAAGTGGTAAGAGGAGCAGATGATTCTACTCCCACATACCCAGAAACATTCAGAGTCTTCTCCTCATTCATTTTACTTTGGTACTCCAATACCAAATCAGACAAAGTATCCTTAACAGATTCCAAACAATAGCGATCAATGCTAAACTTTTCAGCATAGTATTCCACAATATCCAGCTTATACCTTGGATCTAAAACCACAGCAATGGCAAGAACTGTGTGAATCTTGTCCCATTACTTGATGAACTTTTCCAGCATAGAAAAACCCTTATTCTGAATCACTTCATTGTTGTTAACACACCACTGATGAATCTTGAGTTTCAACTCACAGATACGAGGTAAGAACAAATTAGTTGTCGGAGACTTCGATCCAGAGAACAGATCAAAGATGGAGCAAAAAACTTAAAGATTTTCACAAACAAGTGCAGCAAATTGCCACTGCTCATTCGTTAGCAATCAATTCTATTGAGCATCACGTTGTTTAAGTCTAATGAAAACTTCCTTGTAAGGAATGGCAACAAACAACATTTGAAAGGTGGAGTTCCACCTTGTAGGGAAATCCATAACAAGTAGTTTATCAGAAGTGAACTTTAACTGCTTTGCAGTTTCAAGGAAGAGCTTCAGCCTTTTAGGTGTAGAAAACCAGTAAATAACACTGCTCCTAATGTTTTCTATTCCCTCTTTCACAACATCCATACCATCTTTAACAATCGAATTCAAGATGTGAGCAGCACATCTCATTTACAACAAAGCACCATAACTTATCAAATATGGTAACACTAGTTTTGATTGTATGACACAAATCATAGAGTCATTAGTGCTACAGTTGTCTAGAGCAATGGTGGATACCTCACTATCGAAATTCCAGTTAAGCAAACAGTTAACCAACACTGTCCCAACCTTTCGGCAGTATGAGATGCTGGTACATAGGCAAACCTGCACAAGAACAAACAAAAACAAAACACTTGCATTTAGGAATAATGCTTCAAAAAATGATAAACTAGACACCAATTATTCAAATACATACGAAGTACATGTCTTACCTAAGCATGTGGCTCCTAAGCACCCAAGAGTTTTCAATATAATGAGCTATAACAACCATGTGGCCCTTCTTTTGATTGATGGCAGTCCGTATATCAGTAGTTATTGCTATTCTACCTCTATTGATATCAAACACACTTTGAATCTTAGCTCGTTTAGTATCATAAATCTTAAAGAACTCCTTATTGATAGTATTCCTTGATGGTATAATGAACAAAGTTTGAAGAGAGCAGACAAATCTCTTGAATTTGGGATGATCAACCGTCGACAAAGGATATTCATAAATTGTAATAGCAATTGCAAGCTCCTTTTTTGAAAAATCAGAGTTGAAAGCACTAGCAACCATGTCGTGCTTTCCTTTAGCCAAATAGTGAGGGCCAAGAATCTTTTGACTACCATCCCTAATTTTCTTTTGAACACAGATTTTGGTGTTTTCTTTAGGTGGGTAGTACCATTGTTGGATTCCCCAGCTAATTGCTTCTTACAGTAATTGCATTTAGCTTTGACAATGCCATTAATCAGAACTTTGGAATAGTGTAACCAAACAACACTCTTAAGTTTACCAAAATCGAGTAATTCCTCGACAACATTACCATTACTAGCATTGGCATTCTGCAAATTCGCAGCTGCTGCCTGCATAGCGAGCCTGGATTTGTACCATTCTCATTTTCAGCAGGTGCATACACTACTGGATTTGTACCATTGTCATTATCTTGGGGAGTGGGTTGAACTATCTCTGTTGACATTGTTCATGCCAAATAAATAGAGGAACATGGATTAGTAAGATAGCATGCAACTCAACCATGAACCCAACATCACCGATCAAAACCGAAACAAAGAATCTGGAAATTTACCTTGAAGAAACAGAGACAAGCATAGACCAAGGGTGGGAATGGTGTCTAGTTTGAATCGCCTATTCGACTTCCCCGAGAGCACCCACAAAGCCACAACCAAACAAACATGAAGAGGGCGAAAACTGAGAACTGAGAAATAGAGAAGGATGAACAAGAACAAAAGACCCACCTCGTATTAATACTCCAGTCGAATCGCCTATTCGACTTCCCCGAGAGAAATTCTCTCTACATCCAGCAAGCCCTTATTGAAAGGGACATAATTATCATCATCGGAAAGGTAGGATGATAATCTATAAAAGGGAGTTTTGGATTATGAATTGCCCAATATGTTAAGGATTCGATTCGATGGAGAGGAAAAATGGGAGAGGAAGAGTTGAGAGGAGTCCCAAGTTAGCTTATATGTTAGGGATTCTACGGTTTCTGAAGATTATATGGGGTATATATATCTTTGGGGGGGGGGGGGGGGATACCAACGAGTCTGAACCCGGCCCGATTCCCGTTTCCCTTGTACTCGAGTTAATTCGAGTCCAGCATGGAGCCTGTCCTTCTCGGATTTAGCCTGACTTGACCGGGTTGGGTTCGGGCGGTTTGTGGGGTTTTTGGTTCACTTTGACATCCCAAATTTTTATGATAAACTTAGGTCCAATGACGATTTAATATAATTCATTCATTGGGTAAATTTCTTTTATTGGTACTTTTTTATACGTATATTCCTTTTGAAAATGACGTTTTAATGCTCAAACCCTCCCCTCTTTATTTTCCTTTTCTTTATGTTCTTTCCTTCTTTACATTGCTAAGTCACATATTCCATTCTCAATGTTTTGTAAACTCTTTCTCCAATTCAATTTCAAGCGCAAATACAAATGTGGAACTTGGCTTCTGTTAGTCACACAAAGTCTCAATCCAAATGCATGTTTCTCTCATCTTTTTTGTTTCTTCTTTGGATAAGACGAGGTCGATTGGCTCAATGACGGTGTGACTATAAGGAAAATCGAATTGACTTTCGAGGGATTATGATGTCTTCTGAGATGGTCGAGACTTGTATTGTCGCATGTCAAACCTAAACGAGGACGAAGAGACGATGAACTTTGTCGAACATGGGTTGTTGATAATCATTGATGTATGGGCCTATGATAAGGAAAAGGACGACACGATGAGGAAGCTACGAATATGATTTTTGAAAAGAACACATTTTGAAGTTGTCCGGTGCTCGGATAAGTTTGTAGAATAAGTGGATTTTCCAATTTGATTGGGTATTTCTGGGTTTAATTGAGCCCAAGTGGATAACCAACTGGGTCTTTGGTGCCGTTGAGATATTCAAGGTTTGGGCAAAATTGGTACGACTGACCGAGTCAAACTCGAATTGACAATCAAGGTTATGGCTCTTGTTTTTATATGAAGATACATTGGCAAATTCGAACATTTGTCTATTTTCTAATTCATAAACAATAAAGATAAATAATTGTGAACCAAAAACATCATTCCTACTTTCAATCGCGTTATAGATAATTTGAAGCAAAAGAATCATTCCTCACCCTAGCATAGGTCTATCATGCAATGTCTAAATAAATTGGGTTGAGTGAGCTCTTTTCCATGGGCCTTCATGATTATCCACACGCCTCCGAGTATGCCTCTTAGTATGCCTCCCCTATACCGATGTCAGTCACCTCGATCTATGCTATCGTATCTAAGGCTTTAAGAGCATAGCTCCTTTCAATGGGTACTACCCACTGTCCATGCCGAGGTTTCATCTCGAGTTCCATCTTGGAAGGCATTCTTATGGCAGGGGTACGATCGCCTCGTCCGCCACAAGATCTTGTTCATTTATCTAACCCTAATCTGCCAGATGGCGCATACCCGTCTAATCCTAAAACTCCATACCCAGCGTAGAAGCTCAAGTAGGCTAGTTGAGAAGATTAGAGTGACTTACCCAAGCATAATTGAAGGTAGAGAAGCATTAAAATCAACTAGACAAACACATTCATTCAAAACCCCAAAGTATTCATAAATTACATAATAGCCCTAAAATTAGGATTTGGGGTTTAGGACCCCTAGTACCTTAAGAGAAAACTCCATAAAGGAGGGAAGAAGATACATAGAAGAATTTGGGGAAGGCTTGATGTTGAGGAAGATGGCTCCTCTCTTCTAGTTTCACCTCCTTGTCTTCTTCTCCTTCCTTCATCTTCTTTCTCTTTTCTCTCTCTCTAAACCAGAAATTTCTATCTCAAAATTAGCTCTCTTAAAATGGGGGAAGAAGTCCTCTACTTATTTTCTTTAGTGGGGGCGGACAAGTTTGTTGCTGAGTAGGGGGAGATCGTGGTCGTGATCTTCTCCTCCGAGACCGTGATCTTTAGGATTCGTCATTTTGGTCTTTGGTTTCTAGAAGTTCATGGGCTGCCTTCACGATCACGATCCGTGAGTGGCGGCCGCAAACTTCCTCGCGGTCAGAGAAGACGGTGACCATAATCAGACTAGCGAAACTCTATGTTTCTTCTCGGTTGGCTTCTTCACGAAGTTCGCGCCTAATGCCTCCAGATTCGAGGTCGCGATCTTCACTCCGGTTTTGTGGCCGTTTTCTTTGCGGAAATTTTCCCCTTCAGGCCATGATCATCAACTTCCTGCCCACTTTGCTACAGTTGTGCCCCTTTTCGTACCTAATTCGCTTATATCGTCTAAAGCACCCTAAAATCACATCTTGATCAAATAGGAACAAAATAGGGATGAAATAGATGATATTCTTATGATTATGCACACGAATTAGCACGAGACAAACCTAAATATGAAGGACAAATAACACCAATTTGGGTGTTATCAAACTCCCCCACACTGAGGCGTTTGCTTGTCCCAAAGCAAACCTACTCAAACTAATGCAACTTGATAGAAAATCAATGGGGGATGCACTCTAGTTCTTCATTTCATAAAGAAGAGTAGACTAAGGTGAGTAAAGGTAAATATCATCTTACTGTGCACACACAAACTCATTGGTGAGGACCATACTTACTACCTTAGGACGAACAGTCAAGGTGTGCACCAGGGGACTTCTCAAAAAAAAAAAAAATTAAGCACAAAAACTCTTGAGGGTGCTCTTTAATCTTTCTTTTGATTTAGGAGTTTTCTTTTATGGGTCTCCTTTTCCAATGTTGACGCGCATTGCACTAAACTTTTGCAAACTCTTTTGCAAGTAAGCATCTCTCCCTCATGACCAAGGTCGTATGTGGGAAAGTTGATGGGCAGATTTGTCTTAGCCCGAGCACCACTTCCCAGCCTGAACTCTACAATGGGTTGCCACACATGTTGGGTACAAACGAGAGCTTGAGGTCTCTTGAATCGCCAAAAGGTACTTTGTACCTTGCCATACGATTCCGTGAGCAGGAATGATGTTTGGGGGATGGTAAGTAGTGAAAGCGATCGGGAGCTATTCAGTCCCCAAACATATCCTCAAATGGCACTCCGAACAGAGAGGATAGGTCGCCCCTCACGTGAGAACCTCCTTTTCAAAAGATTTTTTCTCAAATTGAACACAAATTTGTAAAAGTTTCTAGTAAAAATGATGTAGAATCCAGCACACGTGTTCTTCCTAAAATAGCAAACATTATAAACTCTCCAAAGAGGAAGAAGAGAGTAAAACCTCTCATAAACCGGTACTCTAATCATGCAACTACTCCCTAGCGAGCACAACATATCAATCATCTATCAATTCAAAGCATATTGAGTAGGAATTTGCGAGGAACAAGGTGTTTTGGAACCCTCAAATTTGAACAAATTGGGTAGTGCATTCTAGGTTCAAAAACACAATCAATGAGCCATTCAACACCACAACACGCATAATTGCTAGCATACACTCCCATAAGCAATCATCAACGTCTTACATTAAAAACCAAGGGAGGATACTAGTGACTATAGGTGTCAATCGGGCGGGTTCGGGCTGGGTTCAATCGGGTTCGAGTTCAAACGGGTTGCGGGTTCATCGGGTTCGGGTTCAGATCAAACGGTTTGCGGGTTAGTCGGGTTGAGGGTTCATCAGGTTCGGGTTCAATCGGGTTGCGGGCAAATCGGGTTGCGGGTTCATCGGGTTTTGAGTCGGGCAGGTTCCAGGCGGATCGAGTTTCGGGTTGTTCGGGCCAGCGCATCGAGTAACTTACTCATTACTCGTTACCAACTTACACATTTTATTACACTAATTTAAAATATTTTCTCAACTTTTTAACCAATTTATTTCTACCTCGTATATATATAGTTATTAAAAAAAAAAACTAGTCAAAATGTTAAACCAATTTGTATGACTTGCAAACTTGTTATGTAATTAATCATAATTGGTAAAGTACACTAGCTAATAGTAACGGTGATATCGATATTTGGAGCCAAAAGAGACCATTAATTGTTTATTTGATATTTTAGTATTAGTTCAGTAGTAATTGAATTAAAGAATCTCATTTAGTATAACCATGCAAATCTGGTATTTGGTGTGTGGTAATTGGAAAAAACAAAGTGATAAAAGAAGTTATATCGAAATAACTCATTTCCCAAATAACTTCAGTAAACTGTTGCCAAACGAGTTATTTCTAAAATTGTTCGAATTATCCTAAAAATTGAACCATTAAAGATTAACTACCAAATTTAGTAAAATTAATTTTGACTTCAATCATAACTTACTCAACAACATATATCCTATACACTTAGCCTTGCCCTCAATCAACAATGTTAAGTTAGTATATGTTGTTGATTGTATATGCTAAACTATCAATACATTATACACTAACAACATACCCTATACCCTAACCATAT